AAAAAAAACTTCTGTGTTTGTACACATATACATGCACACACAAACATCAGTCCATCATTCTGGAGAAGTCTATATTTTTCATCACATTTTCCAAAGAGACTGCCATCTGTAACGAGATAAGACCTCTTAGAATAAAAGGAGAAAAAATGATAGAAGGGGAGTTTTTAAGGACAGGGCAGGTTTAGGAGTGGTTCCAGTTTAAGAGGAAGGAGCCAGTGGAGAGACTGATGGCTCTCGGGAGGGTGCCAGGGTATCTGTGCCTGGATGGCAAAAACAAGGACAGTCATAGCTCTTTCATACCCTAGCCCCCTACCCCTGTACCTGGGTCCTCCTCCTGGGCTGTGCTGGGCAGTTGCTCCCGCTGCCTCAGGGCCTCCAGGCCCACCAGGTCTGGTGGGTGGCAGTGGCTACGCATCACCATCACCCGCTGACCCTGGGTGATAGCCCGGCTGCGGCAGCCCAGCCGAGCCTGGTCTCGGCACATCCAGTACACCTTCTCCCCAGTGGCCTTCTCCTTCCTGTAGAGGAACGAGTCGTACACCAGAAACCTGCCCCCGAGGGACGTCCTCAGGAACTCCAGGGGTTGGAGGGTTCCTGAAGGGGAATGTGACACAGTGAGTGGGGCTTGAAAGTTAAGGATGGACATTTTCTTGTCCCCCAAGTCAGCCACAGCCAGAAAGGAGCAATCCTCAAGCAGGGCCCACTTTGGTCCCAGCCCTCTGCCATCTGGCTGCCTCTTGGGCCCATAGCCCTGACTCACTTGAGTGTAGACTGGCTGTCCCTTTCCAAGGGCCTTGGTGCTGACCAAACCTTGAGCTCTCCTGGAGATCTCCCTTGACCATGCAGTCCCCCAGGGTGACAGCCTAGGTCCTGTTCACCTACTTGCCAATCAGATCTCTCAGACATTTTTGTTTGTTTCAAGCCAGAGTCTTACTCTGTCGCCCTGGGTAGAGTGCCAAGTGCCACAGCAACCTCAAACTCTTGAGTTCATGCAATTCTCTCGCCTCAGCCTTTTAGAGATAAGGTCTTGTTTTTGCATAGGCTTATCTCCAACTCCTGAGCTCAAGCAATCCACCTGCTTCGGCCTCCCATAGTGCTAAGATTATAGGCATGAGCCACTGCATCCAGCCTGCTTGTGTCTTTTTTTTTTTTTTGAGACAGAGTCTCACTTTTATCGCCCGGGGTAGAGTACCCTGCTGTCACAGCTCACAGCAACCTCCAACTTCTGGGCTTAGGCGATTCTCTTGCCTCAGCCTCCTGAGTAGTTGGGACTACAGGTGCCCACAGTGCCCGGCTATTTTTTGTTGCAGTTTGACTGGGGCTGGGTTTGAACCCGCCACCCTCAGTTTATGGGGCCGGCGCCCTACCCACTGAACCACAGGTGCTGCCCTGTGTTTTGTGTTTTTTTTTTTTTTTTTTTTTTGAGACAGAGTCTTACTCTGTCACCCAGGCTAGAGTACCATGGTGTCAGCTTAGCTCACAGCAACTTCAAATTCCTGGGCTCACGTGATCCTCCTGCTTCACCTTCTTGAGTAGCTGGGACTAGAGTTACCTGCCGCAATGTCTGGCTAATTTTCCTATTTTTCGTAGGGCCTCACTCTAGTTCAGGCTGGTCTCAAACTTCTGAGCTCAAGGGATCCTCCTCCATCAGCCTCCCAGAGTACTGGGATTACAGGTGTGAGCCACTGCACCCAGCCCTCTCTCAGACTTTTAAGAAGCTGAACCAAGACTTGGTGCCTATAGCTCAGCAGCTAGGGCACCAGCCATATATACACTGGAGCTGGTGGGTTCGAACCCAGCCTGGGCCTGCCAAACGACAATGACAATTACAACAAAAATATAGCTGGGCATTGGGCATTGTGGTGGGCGTCTAGAATCCCAGCTACTTGGGAGGCTGAGGCAAGAGAATTGCTTAAGCCCAAGAGTTTGCGGTTGCTGTGAGCTATACTCTACTGAGGGTGACATAGTAAGACTCCGTCTTAAAAAAAAAGAAGCTGAACCAAAAGGTCATTCGGTGTTGGGGCTGGGGTGGCCAGAGGGAACCTTGTGAGACCAGCAGCAACTGGGAGATCTGGGGAGAGGAGAAGCATGTCTGGGCACAGTATGTCACAGGTCAGGAGGTGCTGAACATGTCCGGGGGGTGCTGAATACATCCTGCAGCTGCTGATGGCACCCCAACCCTCCACCTTACTCTAGTGGTCTGAGCAGCTTTCTCACTAGATAGCCAAGCATGCATGGAGCCTGCAGACGGGCCCCTGCCTTCAGGAAGTGCACAGCCAAGGGGACACAGTGATGTGCACAGCACACAGAGAATGACCCATAGGCTGCCTCTAGGCTGTGTTCTGGGGCTCAAGTCTCGGAGTGCTGCAGGCAGCAAGGAGACCAGGGCCCAGCACCCACCCACCCTTCTGCCCGCACCTGGGCCTCCTTCCCACTGGGCCAGGTTAGGCAGCTGCTCCCGCTGCCTCAGGGCCTCCAGGCCCCCCAGGTCGGGTGGGTGGCAGTGGCCACGCATCACAGTCACCCGCCCGCCCTGGGTGATGGCCCGGCTGCGGCAGCCCATTCGGGCCTGGTCCCGGCACGTCCAGTACACCTTCTCCCCTGTGGCCTTCTCCCGCCTGTAGAGGAACGACTCGTACACCAGGAAGCTGCTCCCCAACGGGGTCCTCAGGAACTCAGGGCCTCCTGGGGGAGACAGAGAGGTGGTCAGGGGAGGGGGCTGGAGCCCTGCCAGGGAGCACAGTGGGTGCCCCGTTCCAGGAGCAGCATGGTCACTGGTGTGAGGCCCCACACCCCCTCCTCTGAGCGAGGTGGCAGGAAGCCCAGGACACAGACCCTGCCATTCTCTAAGCCCAGCTGGCTTCTACCTACTGGGGACTCCCTTTCTAAGAGTGGGGGCCAGGCTAGGTAGAGCCCCAGTCCATCTTGGAATACCTGAGAGGCAGGACCCAGGAGGCTGGCTGTGCCCTTTTGCCCAGATGACTCCCTCTCCAGACACAGGGGCCAAAGAGGTAGGTGGAGATGGGCTGGGAGTTGTCAGCACATTAGGTAGCAGTGGAAGCCTGGGAGTGAGAAAGCCCTTGAGAAGGCAAGGTCGGCTGGCTGGAGAAGCACCTTAGACAGAGACAGTGAGGGCTGAGCAGGTGGAGATGCTTGGCGGGGGAGGTGCCACCCAGGAGTCAGGAGGACCTGGCAAGTTACAGAGCCTAGAGATGTAAGGCCAGGCCAGGAGGAAGACTAGGGACACATAACTACAGGAAATGAGCGTCGTGACCAAGGGGGAACCTCCAACTCCTTCCACATGCAATTAAAATGTCCAGCAAGGAATAAAACAGCAGAGACAACAAGGCCAGATACCTGGAGAGGAGGGGACAGTGGACCAGAGATGCTAACAGATGCTAGAGGCTGGCAAGAACTAGAGGACTGAGGACCCTCAGAAGGAGGGAACCTGGGTGAGGGCTATTTTGTATGAGGAGCCAATGGGAGGCCACAGCAGCTTCTGTGCCCAGTGGCATGACACGGATAGAGGGGGGAATGTGGGCATCTGCATCCCAGCTGAGGACACTTCCTGACTGATTTCCCTGCCAAAGTCACAGAAAGCCAATGACCAGGCGCCTTTGTGTGCCCAAGGCAGGAGGTGTGTCTCCTGTGGGCACTGACCAGCCCAAAGACCCACATAGGCCCTGAAGCCCTCCTGGGCCCCCCAGGGCCCCCACATAGGCCCTGAAGCCCAAGGTCAGCACCCTCACAGCGCGTATCAGAGCCTTGCCTTCAATAAGGTGGAGGAAAGCAGAGATTGGGCACTTGGAGGACACAGGCTGCTATGCTCCTGAGACTGGATGGGCTGTTCAACTACCAGAGCAAAACTTTAGAAAACAGGAGGATTAGAAGACTAAACTGGGAAGCCTCAGTACTGAATAAATTATCTCATCCTGGGAGGACCAACTTCCAACCAAGTGGAACAGGAAGAAATGATGATGTGGGAGGTCCTTAAAGAACACAGAAGATCATTCTATGCTGAAGGACACAGTTAGTGGCCTGAACAGGACCCTGGTGCCCCCAGCACAGCCAGGTGCATCAGTGACAGAGATCATACAGATCAGTCATCAGAATACCACAAGGCCATTCCAAAACAGACCTGACAGCCACTAACATACAACCCACTTACCTGGAGTGCCACAAACAGCCACACTGTCTACCAAGTATGAGGGAAGGGTGGAGGCACCTTCAGATACACAAGGCCTCAGAGAGCTCCTGGGACTCTGACTCGGCCAGTGACTAGAGGAGAGGCTTCTCCAACCACAAAACACAAGAGAAAACCAAGAGAGAGAAAGGAAGGCCCAGAGCAGGGAGTCTTGCAAAAGGAACCCTGGGGTGATGGGTGACCTGGGCCCCCGGGCTCCCCAGGGCTATCATAAGCAAAAACTGGAATTGTTTCAAGATCTGACCAAGGTGAGGGAGGAGGAGAAGGAAGAAAGCAGCAATGCGTACACAGAAAATAGACAAACAAATTCAGCAGCTGTTGCACCGCAGAGAAGACAGGAAACGGCATTGCAGCATGTCCTCTGCTCAGCAACGAACAGGTCTATATAACAGAGTTAAACCAAAAACCCGCACAAGAAGTGCCCTAAGTGGTGGGCCTGTGGATTAGAGCTGGTTAGAAGTTAACGAGTGACAAGGAGATTTAAAAAAAAAATTAATAGCAGTAAAAGTATGTTTTAAGGAATAGGGTAGCCAGGTGTGGTAGGTCACGCTTGTAATCCCAGCACTTTAGGAGTCGGAGGTAGAAGGATTGATTAAGGCCAGAAGTTCAACACCAGTTTGGGCAACATAAAGAGACTCTGTCCCTATAAAAAAGCTATAAAAAAATATTAGCTAGGCATGGCTTAATGTGCCTGTAGTCCCAGATACTCTGGAGATGGAGGCAGGGGACTGCTCGAGCTCAGGAGTTCAAGCTGCAGTAAACTATGATGATGCTATTGTACTCCACCCTAATTGGCAAAGTGTCTTTAAAAAAAAAAGGCTTGGCTCCTGTGGCTCAAGCAGCTAGGGCACCAGCCACATACACCTAAGCTGGCGGGTTCGAGTCCAGCCTGGGCCTGCCAAACAATGACGGCTGCAATCACAAAATAGTCGGGCGTTGTGGCGGGCGCCTGTAGTCCCAACTACTTGGGAGGTGGAGGCAAGAGACTCGCTTGAGCCCAGGAGATGGAGGTTGCTGTGAGCTGAGATGCCACAGCACTCTACCCAGGGGGACAGCTTGAGGCTCTGTCTCAGAAAAAAAAAAAAAAAAGAAGAAGCTGGGTGTGGTGTCTCATACCTTAAGCCAAGGCGAGAGGTTAACTCGAGCTTAGCATTTCTAGATCAGCCTGAGCAAGACCAAGATACCGTCTCTACTAAGAATAGAAAAATTAGCTGGGCATTGTGGCAGGCCCCTGTAGTCCTAGCTACTTGGGAGGCTGAGACAGTAGGATTGCTTAAACCCAGGAGTGTGAGGTTGCTATGAGCTAGGCTAAGGCATACTAGCCTGGGCAACAGAATGAGACTATGTCTCAGAAAAAGAAAAAAAAAAAGAAGAAAAGTAAAGTAAAGAAAAAAAACAAATAGAGCAGCAAATATTCTAAGACATTGAATAACAGACACTTCAACACTGCTCAGGGGCTCCGGTGGGGCAGCTGTGTACTTTGCACAATTTTCTCCCTATATATAAAAGTTACAGAAATGGAATAAAGAGTGTTAGAAAATCATAGCTCTGAAGTTTGAGAGAACTTTAGGGCCCTACAGGAAGTTCAGATGACTCAAAAAACTATGGGACTGGGAAGAAGCTCTGGAAAGAGGCAGGTGCCTCATGGACACAAATGCAGACTTAGGGAAGCTGAGAAGTCTGGGCTGAAATTTCTCTTCTCAGCCAGATAGGATTGGAAGTTACACTGTGACAGTAAGAGTCAAAACACCAGACACTGGGGGGTCCACACTGAGCAGGAACTGGAAAGAACAGCTGCAACCCTCACCATGTTCCCTTTTGAGACAGTATAGGGGGCTAAGGACAGTGGGAGAAATCAGTGACATGTAGATATCACCTCCTCCATGCTTAACCCTTGAGACCATGGGACAAGCTTATTCCTGGCAGTAACATCTGTCCACTTCCACTGTGTCAATGAAAACCACCTACTGTGTAATCAACTTCCCCTACTAATACTATAAACTAAAAAAAACAGAGGAGGAGGTAGAGAGGAGCATGGGTTCATCCTGAGCTCCTGAGATTTGGGGCAGGCCAGATTAGAAAGGTGGGTGGGACCCCACTGAGGGTGGAACTGGGTGGGCCAGGAATGGGAGGCAGGACTCCTTCTAGAATGTTCACAGGAGGAAGCACAGTGGGACATGTGAGGTCAAAAAGGAAAGGCTGTGGTGGCACCTGTAGCTCAAGTGGCTAAGGCGCCAGCCACATACACCAGAGCTGGCAGGTTCGAATCCGGCCCGGGCCTGCCAAACAACAATGACAACTACAACCAAAAAATAGCTGGGTGTTGTGGTGGGCACCTGTAGTCCAGCTATTTGGGAGGCTGAGGCAAAAGAATCACTTAAGCCCAGGAGTTTGAGGTTGCTGTGAGCTGTGACGCCAAGGTACTCTACCCAGGCCGATAGCTTGAGGCTCTGTCTCAAAAAAAAAAAAGGAAAAGCTGTGGGGCTTGGGGCCTGCTTCCCAGGACCCAGCTCCCACTTTGTCCCTAGATACCTGGGCTCCCCTGTGGTGTTGGGCTATCCTGTTTCTCCCGCTGCCTCAGGGCCTCCAGGCCCCCCAGGTCAGGTGGGTGGCAGTGGCTACGCATCACGGTCACTCGCCGGCCCTGAGTGATGGCCCGGCTGCGGCAACCCATTCGGGCCTGGTCCCGGCACGTCCAGTACACCTTCTTCCCTGCGGCCTTCTCCCGCCTGTAGAGAAACGACTCATACACCAGGAAGCTGCCCCCCAGTGGTGTCCTCAGGAACTCAGGGCCTCCTGGGGGAGACAGAGAGGCGGTCAGGGGAGAGGGCAGCGAGGGAGGTAGATGCAGGCTGAGGAGGAGGCAGGGGCAACCCTGATTCCACCTCCCAGATCTGGGGAAGTTAAGATTGGAGGCAGGGCTCCAAAGGAAGAAACCTCACCAGGGTCCCCATCCTGGTCCTCGGGCGATCCTTCCAGGGTATGAGGCTGGGCTGGAAGTCCCCCATCTTTGACTTTGGCTCGCTTTTTAGGTTGGGGCCTTGTGAGGGTCAGGGTGCCCGGCCCCCTGCGGTAGAACAGACTGTCCACGCCTTGGAGCAGCTTGTCCACTTGGCCCCTGGAGCCATCTGGCCTGGCCTGTGTCTCCATTGCCTTCTCCTGCTGCCGCCGGGCCTCCAGGCCCTCCATATCAGGTGCATGGCAGTGGCTGCGCATCACGGTCACCCGCTGTCCCTGGGTGATGGCCCGGCTGCGGCAGCTATGCAGCACATGGTCTCGGCAGGTCCAGTACACCTTGTCACCCACAGCCTTCTCCCGCTTGTAGAGGAATGACTTGTACACCAGGAAGTTGCCCCCAAAGCACGTCCTCAGGAACTCATAGGACTGGGCTTGTCCTGCAGGAAGGACTAGGGTAGTTACAGGTGCAAGGGCAGGATGCTCTTGGCAGTTTGGGGGTGGAATTTACCCTGGCTGTAGAGCTGAGTGTGCACACAGCCCCTGGGGCCATCTCCTCCCCTGTGACCACAAGGAGTGACGGTTCCCCTCCTTCAGTGTGAGGCTGTGAGACACCATTTAGGGTCACTCCAGAAGGGACCAACATGGACTCTGACCTGGCAGGTTGTGTTCTCACTCATCCTGGTCATACTTTCTTTTAAGGGTTAGTTTTAAATTTTAACTACTTTTTTGAATAATATACACATATGCCATAAAACTCAAATGGTACCAAAAAATACACATTGAAAAATAGCTGGGTGGTGCCTGCGGCTCAGGGAGTAGGGGGCCAGCCCCGTGTACCAAGGGTGGCAGGTTCAAACCCAGCACCATCCAGACTGCAGCAAGAAAATAGCTGGGTGTTGGGGCAGGTGCCTGTAGTCTCAGCTACTCGGGAGGCTGAGGCAAGAGAATTGCCTAAGCCCAGGAGTTGGAGGTTGCTGTGAGCTGTGATGCCACGGCATTCTACCAAAGGTGATAAAGTGAAACTCTGTCTCTACCAAAAAAAAAGAAAGAAAAGCCTCTTTTCCTTCCCTCCCTGGACCCAGTACAGTGACCACCTTAGATCCTAAAATCTATTCTGGGCTGGGAGATGCCGATGCTTCTTGAATCCAAACCCACCTCTGGTCACTGGTAATAAAACCCACGATAAAACTCCAATCTACCACTCATTGAGCAATTTGGGCACTTCCTAGGTACCAAAACATACATGCTCCACAACAACCCACGTTATCTTACTTGTCTCAGGATAAAGCTCCTAAAATTCTAGAAATTAAGCAAATTTTCTGAGGCTACAGGATGACCACAGATATGGCTAGAATTTGAACCTGGGACCCACAGTCCAAAACCCTTCCGCTCCACACCCTTCCTGATTAAGGGACACCAGAGCACCTGGAAGCCTGTTAAAGTTCTGATTTCTGGGCCCAACACTAGACCCTGCTGCTTCAGAAAGTGCTAGAAGAGGCCAGGCACAGTGGCTCACGCCTGTAATCCTAGCATTCTGGGAGGGTGAGGTGGGTGGAATGCCTGAGCTCACGGGTTCGAGACCAGCCTGAGCAAGAGCAAGACGCTGTCTCTAAAATAAATAAATAAATAGGGTGGTGCCTATGGCTCAAGGAATAAGGTGCTGGCCCCATATACTGGGAGTGGTGGGTTCAAGCCCGGCCCTGGCCAAAAAACGCAAAAAAAAAAGCCAGGCATTGTGGTGGGTGCCTATAGTCCTAGCTACTCGGGAGGCTGAGGCAGGAGGATCACTTGAATCCAAGTCTAAGGTTGCTGTGAGCTATGATGCCACAGCACTCTACCAAGAATGACAAAGTGAGACTCTGCCCCAAACAAACAAACAAACAAACCAAAAAACCCCCCACAAGGTCTGGCTGGGCATGGTGGCTCATGCCTGTAATCCTAGTACTCTGAGAAGCTGAGGCAGGTGGATTGCCTGAGCTCACAGGTTTGAGACCAGCCTGAGCCAGAACGAGACTTCATCTCTAAAAATAGCTGGGCATGGTGGGTGGCTGAAGCAAGAGAATCATTTAGTTTGAGGTTGCTGTGAGCTGTGATGCCCTAGCACTCTACCGAGGATGACAAAGTGAGACTTTGGCAAAAAAAAAAACCCCAAACCACAAGATTGAGACCAGCCTATAGTGTAAACAAACAAACATACACAGGGGACCCCACATTTCTACATGGGCTTTGGAAGGGGCCTCCCGGGTCCAGTCTGCTCCAGCATGCACTCACCCATCCCCAGTGTTGAGCGTTTCTTGGGGGGCAGACTCAACAGCGACAGGATTTGGCGTTTCCTATTCTCCTCCAGGGTTGAGGATGGCTTGCTCAGCACCAGCTCCGAAGTGGTTTCTGGCTCCTCAGGGCATGGCCACGGGGCCGCCCCCTCGAGAGATTCCTCCACTTGGCCTCCCTCAGGTAGAGCCAGGTTGGGCAGCTTCTCCTTCCGGCGCCGGGCCTCCAGGCTTTTCTTATCAGGTAGGTGGCAATGGCCCCGCATCATGATGGCCCTTGAGCCCCGGGTGATGGCCCGGCCCCGGCAGCCCAACTCAGCGTGCTGTCGGCACTTCCAGTATACCTTATCCCCCACGGCCTTCTCTTGTTTATACAGGAACGATTCCAGCACCAGGAGGCGTCCCCCAAATGGGGTCCTCAGGAATTCCAAGGGCTTGGGGTCTGCTGGGACAAGGGGAGGGCTGGGTTAGCTAACCCAGAGCAGGGCCTGTGCAGAGCCAGTAAGAATGGTAGGGGCCTAGAATGGAGCAGGATTCCCATGGGTGGGAGATGCCTGCTCCTGGACCCAGCAAAGAAGTCCAAACTCTCAAGGTAGATTTTTGCTGAGGGAAGAGAGTGGATGATTTCAAGGAATTAAAGGAATCTGGCATGTCACTGCAATCCCCTGAACTCAGGAAGCTCCCCATACCCACGTAGTGGTCTATAGGGACCACATGATCAGAGACCAGAAGCCTCAGCTGGGAGCAGGGATGGGATAGCCAAGGTCACTCCCTGGAAAGCAGAATGCCCAGGGCCTAGTCTGAGCATGTGGGCTTACAGAGGTACTGGGCCAGAGGCAGCAGGCCTGGTGCCTCACCTGTGTCCAGCTTGTTGTATCTCTGCTCAGACACTGGGGGAGCTGGCTGGACTATGCTCCCCTGCTCCTCAGCTGGCAGGATCTGCAGAGTGCTGGCAAAGGTGGCAGGGTCAGACATCTCCAGGGACATGATACAGTGCACTTCTTTGGGCTCAGTGTCCATTTCATCCCCATCCGGATTGCAGACTGTCAGCAGGACATATTCAGGAAACTCCTCTGGGTCCTTGGTGGCTGCTGGGATCTCATCCGTAACCAGTTCAAGGGACAACGGCTCCTGGCTGGCATTCATACTCTCCCCCTCTTGTTCACTGGCCTCAGGTAGGGGCATTCTAGGACTGATGGCCTGTCCTTCAGGCCACATTCAGCCACTAGCAGATGGATTTCTCTTCCTCTCTGGCAAGGAACCTGGGCCAGGGGCTCTGTCCTAAGGAGGCAAAATCCCAGTCAGTCTGGGTCTCTAGAAATAGACCTGGAAAGTTGGGGTAGATGGGGCTACCTGCATGCTACCTCCCAGAGGCTGGGAAGGGACCTAATGGAACCAGGTCTCAGGGGTGGTGCTTCTCTGCCAGGTCTTCCTGGAAGCTTTGGATCACCTCCCCTAGCCACACCTCACTTTCCCCATTCAGAAAACAAGCATAATATATACCTCTCCTTAGGGGCTGTCAGGGTGATTAATGCACTGATACCATGAGTGACTACTTGGGGGGGGGCCTCTAATGTGCTGAGCACAAAGGAAATGTTTCTACACACTCTTCCATTGGCCTTGCAGCCCCCATGTTCTGAAAGTTGGCCATGCTTCTTGACCGTTTACAGATGAGGACATTGAGGCACAGAAAACAAGGAGTCCTTATGAAAGTTTTGAGACATGTAAAAATCAAGAGATGTAAAATCTGCATGGATGGGAACAAATGAAGCCCTGCCAGCAACACTGATAAACTGAGCAAGTCAAAACTTGGACAGGTGGATCAGAAAGGACTGTGTTTCTTGGAAGTGAAATAATGGATCATACACAAGCTGTCTCAAAACTTTCATAGTGACCAATAGATACTTGAGGCTGAAGAAGCAGTGGGTTGAACCTCAGTTTCTGCTCGGGTGTCTTGGGGACTTGCTAGACCTCTTGCACAGTGCACTCTACTCAGACCTGTGCACTTAAACAGGGTGAGCCAGGTGAGCACTAGCACTTGAACGTAGTGCTAAAGCCTGGTCCTGGGAGGTCCCTATCCTAGTCTGTAGGCCCAGGCCACCTAACCCTTAGAAGAAGCCAGGGCCTCACAAAAGCAGCAACCTTGTGCCTGACCCAGACAGGGCTGTGGAGGTGTCAGAAAATCCCTCCAGGTCACTGGGCACTCCTTAGCTTCTAGCTTGAAGAAGGGACAGATAATGTGGAGAAAGCATAGGCAGGGCTGGCATGGAGACCTGGGTGTGTGGCAGCCTTGCATTTTTTAGGGATGACTGGGTGATGAGCAGATGGGAGGGGGTCTTTCCCATTTCTCAGTGATAGCTTGGAAATAAAACTAGTGCAGCCCCCGGCATTTTTAGCTTCTTCATTGGTGAAATGTTACCCATTCCAGGTTTTATGGTTCCAGTTCCACTGGTCCCCATTTATGTTCTATAGTTCCCTAGTCTGGGGACACACATTCAGCTCCCCAAAGTCTTGGTCAGCTCCAGGTCTCTGAAGCACAGAGAGGGGCAGCCAGCCCAGGGCAGTGGTGAAGTCCCCATACCCAGGCGGGACCCCAAGAAATCCCCCAGGAAATGGGCAGATAAAGGGGAATCCAGAGTCCAGAGCAGCCTGTGTCCCACCCCGCCCCTCCCGCGCCAGGTCCAGCCCCAGAACAAGCCAACTGCTGCTCACTCTCGTGAGATCCTTCTGGAATTTGCCTACCCTGCCCCACAGGTAACCTGAGGTGCTGGGAATCTGGGGAGGCAGTTGGGGATTATGGCCACATACTCTAAGGTGACCAGACGCCCTGCTTTTGGTGGGACAGTCCGGACTTTTAACAATTTGTCCTGAGTCCTGCAGCGTTTTAAAAAAGCGCCGATTTTTGGAAAGAATGCACAACAAGCTAGGGAACAGGGGAGAACAGAAAGGGAATATATGGTTTTCGGCTGCCATGTGGCTATTTCGACAGGTTATGCGTTTTATATTATTTTTGTTAATTTTGTAATGTTAAACTTTAATAATAACAAATAATGGTTGAGAACTGATTATTGAGAACTGCTTATCAAAGTTTGCATTGTTGTCAGGCCCCGCCTCCGCCCCCTCAAGGTGTCCCGCTTTACCAATGTTAAAATCTGGTCACCTGAACATACTCCTACAGGGGCCTCTGCAGCAGAGCTGCTCAGGGCAGGAAAGGGTTGCAGTGGGAGGCCTTGCCCATACAACACCCTGTCCTGCGTGCTGATTGGTCCTGCGCACATGCCTTTGCCAGCAGCCCGCTCCTCCAACCCCCATGCTCTGCAGATGAATGGAGATGAAGAGACACGAGTGGACATGGATGGACTTGGTGGGTTTGCTGCTGCTGCGTCCTCCCAGTCCTGCGCACGTCTCCTACCCAAAGTTCCAACTACTCCCTGGCCAGGCCATTTCCTGCAAGCTGCTTGCACTCTCTGCCTTCCTGGGGTCCTTCCACTAAGCCAGGACAATGAGGACAGAGAGGCCAGGCCTCTTCCCACGGAAGGCCTTTCAGACAACTCCGGCTACCCTAGTGATTCTGCTACTGCCCACCCACCATGCAAATTCCTACAGGATACAGCAGAGGGATAGGAGTGGAAGCTGGTAGGGGACCCCCACATCAACCACCTATGTAGGAGGCACCTGTGAGAAATATTTTGGCAACAGGGATTGGGGAAGCGATTTAACATCATCTAACATCACTGGTCTCTCTTTAAAGAGCAGGAGAGCATGTAAGAGCTCAAGAGGAGAACACGGACATTACTGCATAGTGGTCTCCATACCTGTGGTGTATTACCTCTATAAGTAGCCTCAGGAGAAGCTCCTGCTAGGCTGCTTGGACTAAGACTGACAGACTGCTGCTGAGATGCTCGCTCCTACTTCTAAGGTGCTTTGGAACCTGATACCTGAATGAGACATACCCAGAGTGAAAATGTATAGCAGTCTGGGTCCAGACAGTTTCATGGGTTGGGGTCGGAGACATGGCTTCACAGGCCCCAATACACCTAGGGTTCAGACTACGCAGCACAACAGTGAAAGCCCCACATTCCTATGGAATGTACTCTGAGTCACCAGAAGTGACAGAAGAGAGTGCAATCCTCTCAAATAAAATTTGTTTTAAAGGCTCCCAAGATCCATGTACCTCCAAAGATCCGGGGAAAGTGCTGATATGACAAAAGACCCTGACTACTGTCTTGTGGAAAGGTGTGGGACCCCACAATGGGCTAGAAATTGGATGTGATGGATTGTTCTAGCTCTTGCCTGCTAAAAAGCCTTGGGGTAGTAAGCTGTTTAATGACCACAAACACTCACATAAAGGATGCAGGTCCTTTGCAATCGGGCTTTGTTTCTACCCTCTTGAAACTGGACTGGCCTTAATGGCTCACTGTGAGCAAGCAGAGAGTGGCAGAAGTGCACTGGGTGCTTGAGAAAGCCCTGGTGGACTGTGACCCTGAACCAGCAGGGAAGGAAGCTGTAAGAGAGGCCACATGTAGGGCACCACAGCATTGCCAGACAGGGAGGAAGTCAGCTTGTACCTTCCACCCCAATAGCCCCTCCAGCTCTGTGTAGACACATAAGGAGCCTGGGGACCAACAGGACCAGGATCAATAGTGAACTGCCGTTAAGATCAGGAGTTACAGCTCGGCGCCTGTGGCTCAAGCGGCTAAGGCGCCAGCCACATACACCTA